CCCAACCACCATTACTCTCACACTTGATTCAAAACTCCCCACGCATTCACTCAACATTTCCCAGAATCTCTCTCTCTCCTCTACACTTCTCTCTTCTCCAAGTGCATACACGCTTACTATAACCCACTTTTCACATCCAATCTTTATTTTACTCCACATAATCCTTGAATTTATACATTTGTAGTCCCTCTTTTCCTGCCATAGCTTATCCTTCAACATTATTGCTACTCCTTCTTTAGCTCTAACTCTATTTGAAACCCCTGACCTAATCCCATTTATTCCTCTCCATTGAAACTCTCCCACCCCCTTCAGCTTTGTTTCACTTGAAGCCAGGACATCCAGTTTCTTCTCAGTCATAACATCCACAATCATCTCTTTCTTATCATTTGCACAACATCCACGCACATTCAGACTTCCCACTTTGACAATTTTCTTCTTCTTATTCTTTTTAGTAATCTTTACAGGAAAAGGGGTTACTAGCCCATTGTTCCCGGCATTTTAGTTGACTTTTACAACACGCATGGCTTACGGAGGAAAGATTCTTATTCCACTTCCCCATGGATATAAAAGGAAAAGTAATAAGACCAAGAACTATTAAGATAAAATCAAAGAAAACTCAGATGAGTGTGTATAAATAAATGTGTACATGTATGTGTAGTGTGACCTAAGTGTAAGTAGAAGTAGCAAGACATGCCTGTAATCTTGCATATTTATGAGACCGACAAAAGACACCAGCAATCCTACCATCATGTAAAACAATTACAGGCTTTCGTTTTACACTCACTTGGCAGGACGGTAGTACCTCCCTGGGTGGTTGCTGTCTACCAACCTACTACCAATATTGCAATATTGTGTTTAAATAATTCAGACATTCAAAACTTTTTATTTTCCTCAGCTTCAGGATTCATGTAACCTCCAGGAACTTTACTGCCATGAATTACAGGGTTCAGCTGTATAATATACAGGATTATGTGTATCATATAGTATTCCAACTGACTCACAAAATCGTAATGACACGATTGCAAACAAACCATACCACGGGTGGGGTCAGAACCCACGATCTGGAGTTTTGAGACTCTGATCGTGGGTTCTAACCCCATCCGTGGTATGGTTTGTATTCCAACTGATTCATGGAAGTACCTTAGTCCCATTTATTAGCCATTGTCTGCTATTTTATACACACAATCTTATGTTTCACATGGACACCAGCTCGTACAGTATGTACCCTACATTAAAAAAAAAAAATCGTCATTTCAGGACCTTATGTGTATTTAGCAACTTGATTTGCATTTTGAAAAAATAAACAAAATATGGTAGCTTCTTGGGACTAAAACCTGTTTTTTTTTTTTTCTTTTGGTCACCTTCCTTGGCAGGAGATGGCCATTGAGATAAAAGAAAAATTAAGGCTAATGCATTATTGAAAATTAATGATATACATTTAGAATTAGAAGCATTGGCTCAACAACTATAGGTATTATTCCTAAGGATACCTTTCAAAGGTGAAGGGCTCTTAATCCAGGAAACCAGAATGACCCTCCACTTGTTTGGATGAAATTTTTATTATTTTCCATTCCTCAGGTGCTGTGTGACTCCCCCTATCCCCCATGAGTTCATTGTTTTACCTTAAATACAATAATAAGTACCCGACATAGCAGTATTGTAGCAGACTGACTGTGTGACCAGTCAGGCACACAACACCACTGAGATAATTTGAGTTGTCAGTTTATCACCAATTCAGATGATGGTATATTGACACTGTATCATCTCAAACTAACAAATTCACACACCACACAGTAAAATACTGTATTACTGTTGCTGTGGGGTTTGCTGACATGGCAACTCAAACCCACGTACATTAGTATATGTAAAAGATATTTTATCTCCTCATGATTAGGTTTATAATTCTTCCTGTCAGTGAGCTAGAACACTTTATTGCTCTAGTTATATTTTGCTGATGACTATATTCCAATAAATGGGATTAAATCTGGAGTATCTGAGAGAGTTAGAGCAAAGGAAGGGGTAGCAGTAATATTGAAGGGTCAGTTATGGAAGGAGAAAAGAGAATATGAATGTGTAAATTCAAGAATTATGTGGATTAAAGTAAAGGTTGGATGCGAAAAGTGGGTCATAATAAGCGTGTATGCACCTGGAGAAGAGAGGAATGTAGAGGAGAGAGAGAGATTTTGGGAGATGTTAAGTGAATGTATAGGAGCCTTTAAACCAAGTGAGAGAGTAATTGTGGTAGGGGACCTGAATGCTAAAGTAGGAGAAACTTTTAGAGAGGGTGTGGTAGGTAAGTTTGGGGTGCCAGGTTGTAAATAATAATGGGAGCCCTTTGATTGAACTTTGTATAGAAAGGGGTTTAGTTATAGGTAATACTTATTTTAAGAAAAAGAGGATAAATAAGTATACAAGGTATGATGTAGGGCAAAATGACAGTAGTTTGTTGGATTATGTATTGGTAGATAAAAGACTGTTGAATAGACTTCAGGATGTACATGTTTATAGAGGGGCCACAGATATATCAAATCACTTTCTAGTTGTAGCTACACTGAGAGTAAAGGGTAGATGGGATACAAGGAGAATAGAAGCATCAGGGAAGAGAGAGGTGAAGGTTTATAAACTAAAAGAGGAGGCAGTTAGGGTAAGATACAAACAGCTATTGGAGGATAGATGGGCTAATGAGAGCATAGGCAATGGGGTCGAAGAGGTATGGGGTAGGTTTAAAAATGTAGTGTTAGAGTGTTCAGCAGAAGTTTGTGGTTAGAGGAAAGTGGGTGCGGGAGGGAAGAGGAGCGATTGGTGGAATGATGATGTAAAGAGAGTAGTAAGGGAGAAAAAGTTAGCATATGAGAAGTTTTTACAAAGTAGAAGTGATGCAAGGAGGGAAGAGTACAGTATATGGAGAAAAAGAGAGAGGTTAGGAGAGTGGTGAAGCAATGTAAAAAGAGAGCAAATGAGAGAGTGGGTGAGATGTTATCAACAAATTTTGTTGAAAATAAGAAAGTTTTGGAGTGAGATTAACAAGTTAAGGAAGCCTAGAGAACAAATGGATTTGTCAGTTAAAAATAGGAGAGGAGAGTTATTAAATGGAGAGTTAGAGGTATTGGGAAGATGGAGGGAATATTTTGAGGAATTGTTGATGAAGATAGGGAAGCTGTGATTTCGTGTATAGGGCAAGGAGGAATAACATCTTGTAGGAGTGAGGAAGAGCCAGTTGTGAGTGTGAGGGAAGTTCGTGAGGCAGTAGGTAAAATGAAAGGGGTAAGGCAGCTGGGATTGATGGGATAAAGATAGAAATGTTAAAAGCAGGTGGGGATATAGTTTTGGAGTGGTTGGTGCAATTATTTAATAAATGTATGGAAGAGGGTAAGATACCTAGGGATTGGCAGAGAGCATGCATAGTTCCTTTGTATAAAGGCAAAGGGGACAAAAGAGAGTGCAAAAATTATAGGGGGATAAGTCTGTTGAGTATACCTGGTAAAGTGTATGGTAGAGTTATTATTGAAAGAATTAAGAGTAAGATGGAGAATAGGATAGCAAATGAACAAGGAGGCTTTAGGAAAGGTAGGGGATGTGTGGACCAGGTGTTTACAGTGAAACATATAAGTGAACAGTATTTAGATAAGGCTAAAGAGGTCTTTGTGGCATTTATGGATTTGGAAAAGGCGTATGACAGGGTGGATGGGGGCAGTGTGGCAGGTGTATGGTGTAGGAGGTAGGTTACTGAAAGCAGTGAAGAGTTTTTACGAGGATAGTGAGGCTCAAGTTAGAGTATGTAGGAAAGAGGGAAATTATTTCCCAGTAAATGTAGGCCTTAGACAAGGATGTGTGATGTCACCGTGGTTGTTTAATATATTTATAGATGGGGTTGTAAGAGAAGTAAATGCGAGGGTCTTGGCAAGAGGCGTGGAGTTAAAAGATAAAGAATCATACATAAAGTGGGAGTTGTCACAGTTGCTCTTTGCTGATGACACTGTGCTCTTGGGAAATTCTGAAGAGAAGCTGCAGAGATTGGTGGATGAATTTGGTAGGGTGTGCAAAAGAAGAAAATTAAAAGTGAATACAGGAAAGAGTAAGGTAATGAGGATAACAAAAAGATTAGGTGATGAAAGATTGGATATCAGATTGGAGGGAGAGAGTATGGAGGAGGTGAATGTATTCAGATATTTGGGAGTGGACGTGTCAGCGGATGGGTCTATAAAAGGTGAGGTGAATCATAGAATTGATGAGGGGAAAAGGGTGAGTGGTGCACTTAGGAGTCTGTGGAGACAAAGAACTTTGTCCTTGGAGGCAAAGAGGGGAATGTATGAGAGTATAGTTTTACCAACGCTTTTATATGGGTGTGAAGCATGGGTGATGAATGTTGCAGCGAGGAGAAGGCTGGAAGCAGTGGAGATATCATGTCTGAGGGCAATGTGTGGTGTGAATATAATGCAGAGAATTCGTAGTTTGGAAGTTAGGAGGAGGTGCGGGATTACCAAAACTGTTGTCCAGAGGGCTGAGGAAGGGTTGTTGAGGTGGTTCGGACATGTAGATAGAATGGAGCGAAACAGAGTGACTTCAAGAGTGTATCAGTCTGTAGTGGAAGGAAGGGGGGGTAGGAGTCGGCCTAGGAAAGGTTGGAGGGAGGGGGTAAAGGAGGTTTTGTGTGCGAGGGGCTTGGACTCCCAGCAGGCATGCGTGAGCATGTTTGATAGGAGTGAATGGAGACAAATGGTTTTTAATACTTGACGTGCTGTTGGAGTATGAGCAAAGTAACATTTATGAAGGGGTTCAGGGAAACCGGCAGGCCGGACTTGAGTCCTGGAGATGGGAAGTACAGTGCCTGCACTCTGAAGGAGGGGTGTTAATGTTGCAGTTTAAAAACTGTAGTGTAAAGCACCCTTCTGGCAAGACAATGATGGAGTGAATGATGGTTAAAGTTTTTCTTTTTCGGGCCACCCTGCCTTGGTGGGAATCGGCCAGTGTGATAATAATAATAATATATTCCAATGCAGCACATAGCCTGGATACAGAAGGGTACCTATATCAAGTATGTTCCACCACCACTACCTGATGATAATGGTGTTCTTCCTCCTGGAGCTCGCGAATCATGGCTAGAACAAATGGAATTTTTGGAACAAGATTTGCAGACTCTACTTAGCCTTCCCCATCACAAGTGAGTAATAAGCATGTTTGTTTAATTTTCATAGTTAAATGATTTATGGTATTTTTTCACTCAAACTTTGATATATGGGAGGTTTCCATATAAATATTTGAGTAAGACCATAAAGAAAACTGTCGCTAGAGAACTTTCTAAGGCTCACACAAAAGGAGGAAGATGTCCTTATGGAATCACATCAGCTGCCCACAAAGAGGCTGACTCACTTTTTCATGATTGTTAACCACTTGGCCCACATAGCAGAGGTTACGAATCCAAACCTAGATGAAGGCTGCAGTTTGGAAGAACATTTAATATCTGCCTAGGGTACCTATAAGGAAATTTACTGGAAGGAATTGCACTACAAAGCAGTCCCCCTTAGCTCAGTTTTTAGAAAAGCAGATAGACTTGAGTTCTGGAGGTGGGAAGTGCTTTGCTTGCAATCTAAAATATGACTGGGAGTTTTACTGTTCAAATGGTCACCCTACCTTGAAGGGAAACAGTCAGCATGGAAAAAAATTATTTTTTACCATTCATTTTAGTTAACCCTGCAGGTAATACAAAAGCATCATTAGCAGGTTGAGCTTTTGCAACAGTTTACTATACTACAATTTAGAAACCCTAACTGTTACCTAGCTTGATATTCAGATTTTTGGGCCTCTTAAAACTTGACATAGCTTAGGGCCTCAGATGATCGATGTGTGTCCTTGATCACAAATAATGCACTAACTCTTGACAGCTTTTCACTGCGTATTGAAAGAGATCATCATCCCACTTAAACCAATCGAAAATATCTTGATTACCTGTGGTGACTATTCACTACCTATATTTTTAATGCTTACTCATATTACCATTTGCTTTTATACTGTATGACCTCATTTCTTTGATATTCGTAATATTCAAAAGTCTAAATAATTTGTAGTAACAAATCTATCTTGAACTCCAGCTATCTGATTGGACAATATCACTTATTTAGTTATACTAGGAATTAATAATCCAATTGTTTCTTATCAGATTTTGGTCTCAAATGGTGTATGACCCAGCAGTCCATGAGTGTTTGGAATCATACATCACCAGTGGTTTCAGATGGTACGATGATGTTATCTTGGACGATTATTCTAGACCTGTTGTTGAAAGCATACATCATTTGGTGTTTTTGAATTACGTTCGCATGGCGACCTACAAAGAATCTAAGGTAAGGCGTCACATAGTTTTCAAGAAAGTTATCTTGTTCACAGTTATGAATTTCTGAATACATTAAAATTGTAATTTTTAGTAGTGTAGTTTACTTAATGGTAATGAAACATACAGTACTTACCATTCTCTCTTATTTTATTTCAGACATGTCACATAACACCTGGAGTATTTGGAGATATTATTTATGAAAACTACATGTTTGATATATGCAAGCTTCTAGACCTGTGTTTGCTTTATGGTCCTACGAATGGTCAACTATTGGCTAAAATGGTCTATAATATTTTCACACAACAGCCCAAATATTACAATGATCTTTCTCAAGCAGTGTCTTCCATATGTCAGGTAAGTTTTTTGTTTTTGTTTTTTTAAGTAAGCAATATATTGGTAGGACTGTTGTGTCAGTTACTTCTACAGAAAACATTTAGATAAAGTGCTGTACTGACAGAAAATATTTTGCTCTTGCAAGAATTGAACTGGGATTTATAGTGTTCCAGGCCCTCATGTCAATCAATGTATCAACATGTTTATAATATGGCTGGATTTGTTCATTTATTGGTCACACACCATCAGACATGAATTCACGAAATTTTTGTAAAGAACATAAAAATGCTGTAGAGTATATGAGTATTCAGTCATTCTCTTCTGTCCAATAATTTTATGAATTTTTGTGTATTATAATCCCAGTGTGTTCAGATTTACAGCTTTAATCAATAATAAATCATAGCTTATTATCAATAATAAATCATAGCTGTGATTATAATTTTCATTTAAAATCTGGCTGGATCAGATTCTTAGAGAAATTATCCTAAATGCTTTTAGCTATATTTTATAGGTTTTGTAATGGTTCTTTAGAGAATACAGGAAGATCACGAGAAAGAGAAAATGATATGACAGCCATGATGTTTAGATTAGATTAGATTTTGCCACCGGGCTAGTTTATTGTGCACCCCATATCCATCCTGTGGACGGTAGCGCGAGAGCATATGGATACACCAAAGGCCTAGGAACTAGGCCCCAAAGGGTTAACAGGAATACATATGAATTTATATCTACATATCTATAGTTCACTTATCTGTTACAAGCAAATTTAGGAAATTTGCTTAGTATATCTGGTATCTTACTTTCATTAATAAGATATCTTGACATGTCACATAGGTTATTATACTGTCTGTCTCTGTATTCCTCAATAAGTGGACAATTAAGCACATAGTGTTCAAGAGAGTGACCATATGCCTGATCACATAATTTACATTTAGTTTGATCATCATCTGTGTGTCTCCCAAACTGCCAGAAGTACTTGTAACCAAGCCTAAGCCTGGCCACTACAACATCAGTCAGTCTGTTCACATTGCAAGTTGCTCCATAAACATACTTATCTACGTTCATGTTATCATAGTGGGTTATAGATCTACTCAGGCTTCTAACTGCATTCCTATAACAATCATTTTCATTATTTACTTCTCTCCTAATATTATTCCTAATGCTAGACACAGTTATACCAAAGTTATATTCTACATTCTCCTTCTCGATACTCTTCTTGGCTAACATATCAACTTTATTTCGCCATGATATTTGAAAGAATGGAATTCAAGTTTTATTTTAGAAGAATTGGAAGGTGAGAATTTTCCAAATGAAATATCTTGAGAGGGTTTTAAATTTTTATATCCCCAAAGGAAGACCAGTATTCACTAGGGCAAAGTATAAAGTGATATGGCTAGATAAGTTAAGAGAGTCTAAACAAATAGGTTGTTATACTGTATATTGCTGGAGAGGTTCTACTCAAATTCTTCTGTGTACTGTTAACCCCTTGACTGTCACAACCCCAAATCCTGAGGTGTCTCCTGGTGAAAAAAATAATATTTTCTTATGAAATGATAGAGAATCTTTTCCTGATTGTAATGACACCAAAAGAACGAAATTTGATGGAAAATTGACGGAATCGTGCTCTCGCGAAGTTAGTGACCTTGGTGATATTTACGAATTGGTGATTTCGACCACTTTGGGCCCTGTTTACGGCTAATTCCGCTGTTCCAGTCGACTAAACTCATAGCTCTTTCTTAAGAACTTTATTTTTTCTATCGATTGAGTACAAGAAACTGCCCATTTACCAATTTCAACTACCCAATAACATGGTCAGAAATTTGCAATTTGGCCAATTTCACGAAAATTAAAAAAATATGACAATTTCAAAATAGTCCACAATGAACAATGCAGACATTCCTAGCTCTAAAATAACAATTTCTTTGTTCATCAGTCATGTCTCCAGGCCTCTCTGATATTAATCTTTCTTTCTATTTTGAATTTTTTACTCAAAAAATAGAAGATTTACTGTTATGCAGACTACTGCAATATGGTAATAATTGTATAAATAATGTCAACCCATTCATGACTTCATATTAGAATGGCTACTTGGACATTTATTGGAAAATGACATCATTTGTTTACATTTGAACATTGGCAAAAATCAAAGATTTCCCCTAATTTGAGCTCCATTTCAAGGTTCTTTTTGTAGTAAAACCAATGAAAATCACCTCTATTTCTATAATATGTTTTCCATTCTATCAAATGAGACCAAGAAAACGAGAATACAATCATAAATACTATACGAAAATAGACCACAAAGTCAGCATTTTAATTAAAAAAATGGTCGGCTTTTTTTTTTCTTATTATGCACTGGGTGCTGTAGGATTTCTTTTATATGGTGCACAATGACCACACAGACCCATTCTCTCACATGTGGGCCTACCAGCTTTCACCTACTTGATTTGAAGCCGCTAGAATTTGAGTACAGTGGACCCCTGCATACAGTTGGCATCACATAACGTTAAATCCGCATACCGATACATTTTATCGCTAAGATTTTGCCTCGCATACCGCTAAAAAACCCGCTCAATGCTATTCGTCCGAGACGCGTCTAATGTGCGGCCTGAGCCAGCCTCACATGTTCCGCCGGTGGCATTGTTTACCAGCCAGCCTCTGCGGTAACATCCAAGCATACAATCGGAACATTTCATATTATTACAGTGTTTTTGGTGATTTTATCTGCAAAATAAGTGACCATGGGCCCCAAGAAAGCTTCTAGTGCCAACCCTACAGGAATAAGGGTGAGAATTACACTGTACTATAGAGATGAAGAAAGAGATCATTGCTAAGTATGAAAGTGGAGTGCATGTCTCCGAGCTGGCCAGGTTGTATAGTAAACCCCAATCAACCATCGCTACTATTGTGTCCAAGAAAAGGGCAATCAAGGAAGCTGTTCTTGCCAAAGGTTCAACTGTGTTTTCGAAACAGAGATCGCAAGTGATAGAAGATGTTGAGATACTCTTATTGGTGTGGATAAATGAAAAACAGATAGCAGGAGATAGCATCTCTCAAGTGATCATAAGTGAAAAGGCTAGGAAGTTGCATGAGGATTTAATTAAAAAAATGCCTGCAACTAGTGATGATGTGAGTGAATTTAAGGCCAGCAAAGGTTGGTTTGAGAGATTTTAAGAAGCGTAGTGGCATACATAGTGTGGTAAGGCATGGTGAGGCTGCCAGTTCGGACCACAAAGCAGCTGAAAAATATGTGCATGAATTCAAGGAGTACATAGACAGTGAAGGACTGAAACCTGAACAAGTGTTAAATTGTGACGAAACAGGCCTGTTTTGGAAGAAAAATGCCAAGCAGGACCTACATTACTGAGGAGGAAAAGGCACTCCCAGGACATAAGCCTATGAAAGACAGGCTTACTCTTCTCATGTGTTCCAATGCTAGTGGTGATTGCAAAGTGAAGCCTTTATTAGTGTATCACTCTGAAACTCCCAGAGCGTTCAGGCAAAAGAATATCCTCAAGGCTAATTTGTGTGTGCTGTGGAGGGCAAACAGTAAGGCATGGGTCACTAGGGACTTTTTCTATGACTGGTTACACCAAGCATTTGCCCCAATGTGAAAAATTACCTAACTGAAAAGAAATTAGACCTTAAGTGCCTCCTGGTGTTAGACAATGCCCCTGGTCATCCTACAGACGTGGCAGAGCGACTTTGTGGGGACATGAGCTTCATTAAGGTGAAGTTTTTGCCTCCTAATACCACTCCTCTCCTGCAGCCCATAGACCAGCAGGTTATTGCAAACTTCAAAAAACTGTACACAAAAGCTCTGTTTGAAAGGTGCTTTGTAGTGACCTCAGAAACTCAATTGACTCTAAGAGAGTTTTGGAGAGATCACTTTAATATCCAAGGTAAGGCTTGGGAGGGAGTGACTAAGAGGACCTTGAACTCTGCTTGGAAGAAACTGTGGCCAGAATGTGTAGACCAAAGGGATTTTGAAGGGTTTGAGGCTAACCTGGGAATCCTATGCCAGTTGAGGAATCCATTGTGGCATTGGGAAAGTCCTTGGGGTTGGAGGTTAGTGGGGATGATGTGGAAGAGTTGGTAGAGGAGGACAATGAAGAACTAACCACTGATGAGCTGCTAGACCATCTTCAACAGCATGAGGCCACACCTGAGGAAACTGCTTCGGAGGAGGGGAGAGAGAAATTGAAGAAGTTGCCTACTTCAAAGATTAAGGAAATGTGTGCAATGTGGCTTAAAGTGCAAACCTTTTTTGATGACAATCACCCTAACATAGCTATTGCAAGCCGTGCTGGTGACTATTACACTGACAATGTTGTGAACCACTTTAGGAAAGTCATAAAGGAACGGGAGGTACAGGCCTCTATGGACAGATATGTTGTGCGACAGAACTCCAGTGACTCTGAAGCTGGTCCTAGTGGCATTAAAAGAAGAAGGGAAATAACCCTGGAAAAGGACTTGACACCTCAAGTCTTAATGGAAGGGGATTCCCCTTCTAAACACTAAGACTCTCCTCCTCCCATCCCATCAATCATCACCAGATCTTCAATAAAGGTAAGTGTCATGTAACTGTGCATGTCTTTTTCAGTTTGTGTGTATTAGAATTAATATTTCATGTGGTAAAAATTTTTTTTTTCATACTTTGGGGTGTCTTGCATGGATTAATTTGATTTCCATTATTTCTTATGGGGAAAATTCATTCGCATAACGATAATTTCGCATAACAATGAGCTCTCAGGAACGGATTAATATCGTTATGCGGGGGTCTACTGTCAAAAACGGTGGCTCGTAAGTAGTATATATACGACCAAAACAGTCAAAGGGTTAATATAGAAGGTACAAAATATGTGATAGAAATAATAGAACATGAGTACGTAGTTGAAAGAGACTGATACAGTGGCTGCACACCTACTGCTGAGTGGGAAATGTTGTTGTGTATATAGGAAGATAGATAAGAGAGGTAAGGGAACAAATTTTTCAGAAAGATGTTCAAGATTGTAAAGTTGTCAGAAGAACAGATGAAAATGTTTTTTAAAAGGTACTGATGATTTTTTTTTTTTTCAACAAAGTGACCGTATCCTACTGATGCAGGGTGACCTAAAAAGACAAACGAAAGTTTCTCTTTTTAAATTTAGTAATGTATACAGGAGAAGGGGTTACTGGTCCCTTCTCCCATCATTTTAGTTGCCTCCTACAACATGCATGGCTTGTGGAGGAAGAATTCTGTTCCACTTCCCCATGGAGAACTGATGAAAATATGTATACAGCTAGCCTTCCACTTTCGCAAGTTCCACTTTCGTGAGCTTCGAACATTTGCGAATGTCCAGCCGCCTAATCATATTTACCAAACAAATGCAGTTACACTCCATATAATCACCACCATTCAACTGTCATCAGTAACTGCATGGCTAACTATCATCACCATCATCATTGTCATTGTCATCATCATCACAAGTCATCAGAGTTCATCTGCCTAACCTTATGAGTGGTGAGTGTTTTGTTTGTTTATTATTTGTTATTAAGCCATAACATATATATACAATATTTTACAATATTTTCATGTGTTTTACGATTGTTCATGGTTCAATAGTTAAGGAAGCAGTATTGTCAGGCTAAGTAAATACTAATATATTTCCCTACAATATATTTGTACATCAAAACATTCGCAAACACTACAGTACAGTACTATTATAATTCTCTATATCATATTTGCGCACTAAACATTCGCTGATTTTCAAGATTCACGAGGTTCTTTATCCCTTAACCCTTGCGAATGTGGAGGGCCTCCTGTATTTAAATAATACACACATGAAACACAAAATTGATAGAAAGTAATTTTGACTTAAATATGTTGTAGACAGCTATATTTTTAGGTCTTAAACATGTTTGATCATTTCTCATAAAAAAAAGTTAAGGCATGTGATAAACACCTATAGTACTTTTTTTTTTTTACATAAATTTTATATATTGTCCTTTTGCAGGCTTTAGAGAAAGTGGAAGATAAGTTGGGTGTGGCAGACTATAATGTTCCTGTAGCTCTTGGAGCTCCCACAGAAAGCTTATCAATAGTAGATCTTCATGATATAATCATTTACTTAAATGATACATTCTCATCCATACAAATGCTTATTGCGCTCCATCCACCAGCTGCTCAATACTTTCATGTAGAAGCATTTGAGTTAAGGTGAGTACAGAATTTATTTATAATGTAAAGTGCGACCATTCATATTTAAGCAGAAATTTGTGAAAAGATGATGCATGGAATTTGGTTGTACCATACGTATTCTATTAGTGTATATCACCTCTGGAATTTTGTAAATGCAGCTTGGTGTATAAGAATTTTTGCAGTTAAATTACATTAATTTATAAAAAATATCACTTATAAATTGGCTTTTACCTCATAACTGAGAGTTATGTAATATAATTTGTAAAAGAAATGCAAGAAATATCTTTAGGTAAAATACTTCCTTATATAATTAAAAGAAGGGATATGTTGTGTATCTTTATACATATATACATGTACTTTTAAAGTGTTGTATTCTTGGCACCTCTGCAAAAACAGTGATTATGTGTGAGTGAGGTGAAAGTGTTGAATGATGATGAAAGTATTTTCTTTTTGGGGATTTTCTTTCTTTTTGGGTCACCCTGCCTCGGTGGGAGACTGCCGACTTGTAAAAAAATAAATAAATTAAAAATCTCAATAGGAAGTAATCAAGGTGTATCCAGGATAGCACCTATACCTACAGATGACATGTTCATCATTACACTTATTAAAATTGCCCCGAGTACAGCATTGTATTACTGTAGTCCTATCTTCCCTTTCTGCATCTTTGCATTACTGATACAGTGGACCCCCGGTTAACGATTTTAATCCGTGCAAGAGGGCTCATCGTTATGCGAAATAATCGTTATGCGAATTAATTTTCCCCATAAGAAATAATGGAAATAAAATTAATCCGTGCAAGACGCCCAAAAGTATGAAAAAAAAATTTTTTTACCACATGAAATGTTAATTTTAATACACACAAACTGAAAAAGGCATGCACAATTACATGACACTTACTTTTATTGAAGATCTGGTGATGATTGATGGGATGGGAGGAGGGGAGAGCATTATCTTCTTACTGTTTAGAAGGGGAATCCCCTTCCATTAGGACTTGAGGTAGCAAGTCCTTTTCTGGGGTTACTTCCCTTCTTCTTTTAATGCCACTAGGACCAGCTTCAGAGTCACTGGACCTCTGTCGCACAACAAATCTGTCCATAGAGCTCTGTACCTCCCGTTTCTTCAAGACTTTCCTAAAATGGGCCATAACATTGTCATTGAAATAGTCACAAGCACGGCTTGCAACAGCTGTGTCAGGGTGATTTTCATCTATAAAGGTTTGCAGTTCAAACCACTCTGCACACATTTCCTTAATCTTTGAAGTAGGCACAATGGATTCCACAACTGGCATAGGCTTCTCAGGGTTAGCCCCAAACCCTTCAAAATCTTTCTTAATTTCCATACTAATTCTCACCCTTTTTACCACAGGGTTGGCACTAGAAGCTTTCTTGGGGCCCATGGTCACTTATTTTCCAGAAACACCACCGAAAACACTGTAATAATACGAAATATTCCGAGTGTATGCTTGGATGTTACCGCGGAGGCTGGCTGGTAAACAATGGGACGGCCGGCACATGTGAGGGCACATTGGACGCGTCTCGGACGAAAATCGGTATGCGGGTTTTTTAATCGGTATGCGGGGCAAAAATTTTGCGATAAAAGTAATCGTTATGCGGAAAAATCGCTATGCGATGCCATCGTTATGCGGGGGTCCACTGTATTTACTTGATTATGTGTATGCTTCTAGACTGTTGTATTCTGAGCACCTCTGCAAAAACAGTGATAATGTGCGAGTGTGGTGAAAGTGTTGAATGATGATGAAAGTATTTTCTTTTTGGGGATTTTCTTTCTTTTTTGGGTCACCCTGCCTCGGTGGGAGACGGCCGACTTGTTAAAAAAAAAAAAAAAAAATTAAATCTTTTATTGCTGTAAGGAAGAATGTTTGATTCTTGCCTGTATACACTTCATACTGCAAATTGATTTCAATTTCACAAGTACTAAAGGTATTAGGCGTAATATTATTACAGGGAATTGTGATCAGCAAGGGGTAAGGTATATGATAGTCCCAGTCACACAGGTGATATAACAAAGAAGCTTTAACACTATTCCATTTTTGATAAATTTGTAAAAAAAAAAAAATCCACTGCGCTGCCGTCCTACTAATTCTGTAAATGTGAGCTCTCTTTACATGAATTGAATGAACCAGTCAAAGCCAGCATTCATGGAGGAGGTGCTGTCAGTGGTATTTATCAGGTTGTGTAGAGGGAATTATGACTAAGGATCATTTGCCTCTGGTAACAATCTAGCCTGACAGAAAACACTGGTTGTGGGTAAAAAGCAGGACTTGTAAAGTGGTATTTAATTCTATCTTGTTTTGTGTGAGTCAAAGCCCTAGTGCATTCTGGGGTCATTGGGACCGGGCAACAGAAAAAACGGTCTCATCAAAGTAAGTTTTGAAATTTAATATACAATATACCATTTTCAGTACTGTATATCATAATAATTTTTTTTAATTTTTCATTTTTAATTTTATAGTTTTGGGGAAACTTAACAAAAAAATTGGAAATAAACTTTTTTTTTTATTTCAGAATGTCTGCTTTCATGAAAAGTCTTCCCGCCTTAATGGATAATTTAAATAAACACTGATGACCCGGGGTGGGATCCCAAGATTACAGATAAAAAAAACTGCAGATCATAATTCTCGGAAATTAAAGCCATCCTTTCCCCCAAAAGCCTTGCCCCTCTGTAGGGAAAAGATGTCACTGGTGAATTAAAGAGTTTATTTTCAGTGGTTACTAACCTTTTTCGCATTTTTGGTTTTACTTTTAAGTTTTTTTTTTTAAAGGGTCAAATAACAAGATTTACTACTCTAAATACTCTTTTTCTTCTGATTTTTTCACACTAGGGGTTTTTTTAAACTATTGACCAGTATTATTAAAAATTTTTGTTTTGGAATTTAGTAGTTTTAAAAAAAAAAAAAAAAAAAAAAACAAAAGTTTTGTTTTTTTGGGATTTTTGCATGTATGAAATCTAAAGTGTACTGGGCACAGTGGTACCAAATTTATTTTTTAACTTGATCAGAAACATTTGTGGGGGGAATCAAGGAAAACTAGTTAGTCAAATTGTGTCCTGGGGGGTTAATATATTTTTTTATATGTTATTTATTAATGCCGCAAAGACCACTGGGGGGTGGGGGGGGATTTTTATCCGGATAACTTTTGATGATCCGGGAGTTTTTCTACTCCAGACCGGGCCAGGGCCAGGTTTGTCTGGTGCTTTCCGGGGCAACAATTTTGGAGTTGGTGTAGATTTTTGATTCAAAAGCGGAGCTATTTTCCCCCTTACTCGATCGGACCTGATTACTCCCACCCTCCTGTTCCCCAAGCCCCAAAGACACTTATAGTTTCAGCTTTTCCTTATGAGTACAATAATCCTACATGGGGGAAAAGGAACTGTTATTTTTTTTACTATTAAATTTTACTGCTTTATTTATCTTGAATTTAATTTTCAGGCCACCATCATCATTGTGGGGAATGTGTTAAAAATTCATGCAGGCGATGCCACAGTGTGGAGATAAAACATTATTACAACATTGTTCAACTTTTCCCAATCCCCAAAGGATTGGAATTTTTTGAGTATGAAAAACAAGGTTGTTGTGTTTTAATTTTTACAGAATTTTCCCCCCAAGATAGATGTTTTCAGTTTATTATGTTTCATTATGGGCCCAAGGATATACCCTTTGGGGATTTACTTCATTCCCTTTTCCAATTTCTCTAGGCGTATTTTTTAAGCACCATCCGAAAAGGGGCGCCAGTACGAAGTATCGGTGTCCCCGGCAAGACAGTGATGAATAAATAAGGTGAAATTGTTTCTTTTTTTTTTGGGTCACATGCCTCGGGGGGAGACTGCTGGTTTGTTAAAAAAAAAATTACAGGTTTAAGAATGAGAGTTCTTAAAGAGCAGTTAAGAAGATATTTCCTCCGCAGATCATTTTGTCTTGTCTTTTCAATAGCTTTGTTGTAAGATTTTCCACGTGTGTATATTTAATTTAAAAATACATTAAATGGTTCAGTCATTGATGCATTGTGTATGGAAATCATTAGCCTCCGATCAACAAGCAGTCTTCCCCCCTAAAAATTCAAATGTTCATGAATATATCTCCCAATAGATTAAAAAAAGTTTTTTCAGTACCATTAGTTTGGCCTTAGAATTTTCACTTTGGGAATTTCTTGTATTGTATCCAAATGCTACCCACATCATACCATAAAAAATTGAAAATTTGCCATCTTTTAGACACTGAACATTTTGTGTTTGGGAAAAACGCACGTATTAATCGAGCTGCTCCCGAATTTCTATATGGAGGGGCTTAGGAGATACTATGGTTGGATGAGGAGACAAGGGGGTTTGTTTTTAAAACTGCAATATTATTTAAAATTTTTTTTTTTTTTGGGGAAACATGGGGGAAAGGGTGATGGAGATTTGGGATGGGGGGTCCTTTAAACCTTTTCCTTGGGGCAAACCAGGGTAACTAAATTTTTACTTAAAGCATGAATGATTATGCACATGTAGATGTGTTATAGCATTGTACACATACATCAACGAGGGATAGACCCTCCATTTTTGGGGATGGGCTGGCAGACAAAGTAACAGACATACTGACATGTTTGTAATATTTTTTTTTTTTTAAACATTTTATTTTATGAGTCAGTACTAAGCAAAACCATTGTTTTTTAAATATTTTTGAACTAAATTTCTGGGAATACAAAAAACAAGTTTTTTAACTTTCTCAAAATTTAGTTCCCACATGATTTTAATATTTACTTTTGAAACCAAGAGCTCTGTTGCAGCTTTTCTAAGAAAGTTTTTGATCGCAGACCAGATCTAAAATTAAAGGGATATTGAACATAAATGGCTTGTATCTAATAAATTTAAAGTTTGAGTAAAAATGGTTTTATTGAGAACCCGTGATGGGTTTTTCCATTTGCATGTCATTAAATTTTTTCTCATGAAATTGTCATTCTTCCAAAATATCATACCCCTTACTGTATTTCTGCAAAAAAATGCCTGTTCTTTAAAATTGTTTCACTGTGTGTTTATTGTGTAAAATAATCGGTATAAGTTATAGTACATTGCCTACATTTTAATGTTTCAGCAACACGGTGGAGATGTAACAAGCCTCACCTTCATTAAAGAGGCTGTTGACATGGTGCTGAAGGAAATGGGGCTCTCTTTGGGCATGACAAATCTAACTCTGGATGAATCCCAAAGCAGTAAAGTGAAAAAGGTACCATATCACTTTTTTTTCTTTTTTTGGGGTCACCTTGCCTTTGTAAGACAGCCAGCGTATTAAAAATATTTTTTTATTATCAACACATCAGCCGATTCCCACTAAGGCAGGGTGGCCTGAAAAAGTAGAACTTTCACCATCATTCACTCCATCATTGTCTTGCCAGAAGGGTGCTTTACACTACAGTTATAAAACTGCAACATTAACATCCCTCCTTCAGAGTGCAGACACTGTACTTCCCATCTCCAGGACTCGAGTCCAGCCTGCCGGTTTCCCTGAATCCCTTCATAAATGTTACTTTGCTCACACTCCAACAGCACATCAAGTATTAAAAACCATTTGTTTCCATTCACTCCTATCAAATACGTTCACACATGCTTGCTGGAAGTCCAAGCCCCTCACACATGAAACCTTCATTACCCTCTACCTCCGACCTTTCTTAGGCTGACCCCTACCCCGCCTTCCCTCCACTACAGATTTATGCACTCTCGAAGTCATTCTGTTTCGTTCCATTCTCTCTACATGTCCAAACCACCTCGGCAACCCTTCCTCAGCCCTCTGGATAATAGTTTTGGTAATCCCGCACCTCCTCCTAATTTCCAAACTACGAATTCTCTGCATTATATTCACACCACATGACATCTCCACTGCCTCCAGCCTTCTCTTCATTGCAACATTCATCACCCATGCTTCACACCCATATAAGAGTGTTGGTATAACTATACTCTCATGCATTACCCTCTTTGCTTCTGTGGACAAAGTTCTTTGTCTCCACAGACTCCTAAGTGCACCGCTCACCCTTTTACCCTCATCAATTCTGTGATTCACCTCATCCTTCACAGACCCATCTGCTGACACGTCTACTCCTAAATATATGAATACATTCACCTCCTCCTTACTCTTTCCCTCCAATCTGATATCCAATCTTTCGTCACCTAATCTCTTTGTTATCCTCATCACCTTACTCTTTCCTATATTCACTTTTAATTTTCTTCTTTTACATCCCCTACCAAATTCATCCACCAACCTCTGCAACTTCTCTTCAGAATCTCCCAACAGCACATTGTCATCAGCAAAGAGCAACTGTGACAACTCCCACTTTGTGTTTGATTCTTTATCGTTTAAGTCCACATCTCTTGCCAAGACCCTCTCATTCACTTCTCTTACAACCCCATCTATAAATATGTTGAACAACCACGGTGACATCTCACATCCTTGTCTAAGGCCTACTTTTTCTGGGAAATAATTTCCCTCTCTCCTACTTACTCTAACCTGAGCCACAATATCCTCGTAAAAACTCTTCACTGCTTTCAGTAACCTACCTCCTATACTTGCAACATCTGCCACATTGCCCCTTTATCCACCCTGTCGTACGCCTTTTCCAAACCATAAATGCCACATAAACCTCTTTAGCCTTATCTAAATATTGTTCACCTATGTTTCACTGTAAATAGTACTTGGTCTACACACCCCCTACCTTTCCTAAAGCCTCCTTGTTCATCTGCTATCCTACTCTCCGTCTTTTAATTCTTTCAACAATAACGCAGGTATACTCAACAGACTTCTCTTACCCGCTATCACTAAAAACTCTCTCTTTGATTCTATTATACCTTTCCCTTTTCCTTACAACACACTAAGACTGTTCCATCCCAGGTAAATACTCTAGACAGACCATTCTTCCCATACTAATTTTTAAAAAAGACCAACCCACTAAAACTATTTCGTTTTACCCCTCTTTCCCTTCTACCCTACACCTACAAACTTTCCCTATGCATTCCTTTCAACTTGCTGCTTTCTGCCAATCCCTAGGTACCTTGCCCTCTTCCATACATTTATTAAATAATAGCACCAACCACTCCAAAACTATATCCCAGCTGCCTTACCCCCTTTCATTCTACCCACTGCCTCACAAACTTTCCCCACAGTCACAACTGGCTCTTCCTCACTCCTACAAGATGTTATTCCTCCTTGCCCTATACATGAAATCACAGCTTCCTTATCTTCATCAACATTAACAGTTCCTCAAAATATTCCCTCCATCTTCCCAATACCTCTAACTTTCCATTTAATAACTCTCCTCTTCTATTTTTAACTGTCAAATCCGTTTGTTCCCTAGGCTTACTCAACTTATTAAACTCATTCCAAAACTTTTTCTTATTTTCAACAAAATTTGTTGATAATATCTCACCCATTCTCATTTGCTCTCTTTTTACTTTGCTTCACCACTCTCTTAACCTCTCTTTTTCTTTCCATATACTCTTCCCTTCTTGCATCACTTCTACTTTGTAAAAACCTCTCATATGCTAACTTTTTCTCCCTTGCTACTCTCTTTACATCATCATTCCACCAGTCGCTCTTCTTCCCTCCTGCACCCACTTTCCTGTAACCACAAACTTCTGCTGAACACTCTTAACACTTCATTCTTAAACCTAACCCATACATCTTCGACTCCATTGCCTATACTCTCACTAGCCCATCTATCCTCCAATAGTTGTTTATATCTTACCCTAACTGCCTCCTCTTTTAGTTTATACACCTTCACCTCTCTCTTACTTGCTGCTTCTATTGTCCTTGTATCCCATCTACCTTTTACTCTCACTATAAATACAACCAAAAAGTGATCTGATATATTTGTGGCCCCTCTATAAACATGTACATCTTAAAGTCTACTTAACAGTCTTTTATCTACCAATACATAGTCCAACAAACTACTGTCATTATGCCCTACATCATATCCTGTATACTTATACTGAACCCCTTTCTATACAAAGTTCAGTCAAAGGGCTCCCATTATCATTTACACCTGGCACCCCAAACTTTCCTACCAGACCCTCTCTAAATGTTTCTCCTACTTTAGCATTTAGGTCCCCTACCACAATTACTCTCTCACTTTGTTCAAAGGTTCCTATACATTCACTTAACATCTCCCAAATTATCTCTCTCTCCTCTACACCCCTTTCTTCTCCAGGTGCATACACGCTTATTATGACCCACTTTTTACATCCGACCCTTATTTTAATCCACATAATCCTCGAATTTACACATTTATATTCCCTCTTCTCCTTCTATAACTGATCCTTCAACATTATTGCTACCCCTTCCTTAGCTCTAACTCTCTCAGATACTCCTGACTTAATCCCATTTATTTTTTTATTTTTTATTATCACACTGGCCGATTCCACCAAGGCAGGGTGGCCCGAAAAAAAAAAACTTTCACCATCATTCACTCCATCACTGTCTTGCCAGAAGGGTGCTTACACTACAGTTTTTAAACTGCAACATTAACACCCCTCCTTCAGTAGTGCAGGCCTGTACTTCCCATCTCCAGGACTCAAGTCCGGCCTGCCGGTTTCCCTGAATCCCTTCATAAATGTTACTTTGCCTCACCTCCAACAGCACGTCAAGTATTAAAAACCATTTGTCTCCATTCACTCCTATCAACACGCTCATGCATGCCTGCTGAAAGTCCAAGCCCTCGCACACAAAACCTCCTTTACCCCTCCCTCCAACCCTTCCTAGGCCGACCCCTACCCCGCCTTCCTTCCACTACAGACTGATACACTCTTGAAGTCATTCTGTTTCGCTCCATTCTCTCTACATGTCCGAACCACCTCAACAACCCTTCCTCAGCCCTCTGGACAACAGTTTTGGTAATCCCGCACCTCCTCCTAACTTCCAAACTAACGAATTCTCTGCATTATATTCACACCACACATTGCCCTCAGACATGACATCTCCACTGCCTCCAGCCTTCTCCTCGCTGCAACATTCATCACCCACGCTTCACACCCATATAAGAGCGTTGGTAAAACTATACTCTCATACATTCCCCTCTTTGCCTCCAAGGACAAAGTTCTTTGTCTCCACAGACTCCTAAGTGCACCACTCACTCTTTTTCCCTCATCAATTCTATGATTCACCTCATCTTTCATAGACCCATCCGCTGACACGTCCACTCCCAAATATTCTGAATACGTTCACCTCCTCCATACTCTCTCCCTCCAATCTGATATTCAATCTTTCATCACCTAATCTTTTTGTTATCCTCATAACCTTACTCTTTCCTGTATTCACCCTTTTAATTTCTTCTTTTGCACACCCTAAACCCAAAATTCATCCACCAATCTCTGCAACTTCTCTTCAGAATCTCCCAAGAGCACAGTGTCATCAGCAAAGAGCAGCTGTGACAACTCCCACTTTGTGTGTGATTCTTTATCTTTTAACTCCACGCCTCTTGCCAGACCCTCGCATTTACTTCTCTTACAACCCATCTATAAATATATTAAACAACCCGTGACATCACACATCCTTGTCTAAGGCCTACTTTAACTGGGAAAAAATTTCCCTCTTTCCTACATACTCTAACTTGAGCCTCACTATCCTCGTAAAAACTCTTCACTGCTTTCAGTAACCTACCTCCTACACCATACACTTGCAACATCTGCCACATTGCCCCCCTATCCACCCTGTCATACGCCTTTTCCAAATCCATAAATGCCACAAAGACCTCTTTAGCCTTATCTAAATACTGTTCACTTATATGTTTCACTGTAAACACCTGGTCCACACACCCCACTACCTTTCCTAAGCTCCTTGTTCATCTGCTATCCTATTCTCGTCTTACTCTTAATTCTTTCAATTATAACTCTACCATACACTTTACCAGGTACACTCAACAGACTTATCCCCCTATAATTTTTGCACTCTCTTTTCCCCTTTGCCTTTATACAAAGGAACTATGCATGCTCTTGCCAATCCCTAGGTTACCTTACCTCTTCCATACATTTATTAAATAATTGCACCAACCACTCCAAAACTATATCCCACCTGCTTTTAACATTTCTATCTTTATCCCATCAATCCCGGCTGCCTTACCCCTTTCATTTTACTACTGCCTCACGAACTTCCCCACACTCACAACTGGCTCTTCCTCACTCCTACAAGATGTTATTCCTCCTTGCCCTATACACGAATCACAGCTTCCCTATCTTCATCAACATTTAACAATTCCTCAAATATATTCCTTCCATCTTCCCAATACCTCTAACTCTCCATTTAATAACTCTCCTCTCCTATTTTTAACTGACAAATCCTTTGTTCTCTAGGCTTTCTTAACTTGTTAATCTCACTCCAAAACTTTTTCTTATTTTCAACAAAATTTGTTGATAAATCTCACCCACTCTCTCATTTGCTCTCTTTTTACATTGCTTCACCACTCTCTTAACTTCTCTCTTTTTCTCCATATACTCTTCCCTCCTTGCATCACTTCTACTTTGTAAAAACTTCTCATATGCTAACTTTTTCTCCCTTACTACTCTCTTTACATCATCATTCCACCATCGCTCCTCTTCCCTCCTGCACCCACTTTCCTGTAACCACAAACTTCTGCTGAACACTCTAACACTACATTTTTAAACCTACCCCATACCTCTTCGACCCCATTGCCTATGCTCTCATTAGCCCATACTATCCTCCAATAGCTGTTTATATCTTACCCTAACTGCCTCCTCTTTTAGTTTATAAACCTTCACCTCTCTCTTCCTGATGCTTCTATTCTCCTTGTATCCCATCTACCTTTACTCTCAGTGTAGCTACAACTAGAAAGTGATCTGATATATCTGGGCCCCTCTATAAACATGTACATCCTGAAGTCTACTCAACAGTCTTTTATTACCAATACATAATCCAAAAAAACTAATGTCATTTCGCCCTACATCATATCGTGTATACTTATTTATCCTCTTTTTCTTTTAAAAAATTTTATTACCTATAACTAAACCCCTTTCTATACAAAGTTCAATCAAAGGGCTCCCATTATCATTTACACCTGGCACCCCAAACTTACCTACCACACCCTCTCTAAAAGTTTCTCCTACTTTAGCATTCAAGTCCCCTACCACAATTACTCTCTCACTTGGTTCAAAGGCTCCTATACATTCACTTAACATCTCCCAAAATCTCTCTCTCTCCTCTGCATTCCTCTCTTCTCCAGGTGCATACACCGCTTATTATGACCCACTTCTCGCATCCAACCTTTACTTTTAATCCACATAATTCTTGAATTTACACATTCATATTCTCTTTTCTCCTTCATAACTGATCATTTAACATTACTGCTACCCCTTCCTTTGCTCTAACTCTCTCAGATACTCCAGATTTAATCCCATTTATTTCCCCCCACTGAAACTCTCCTACCCCCTTCAGCTTTGTTTCGCTTAGGGCCAGGACATCCAACTTCTTTTCATTCATAACATCAGCAATCATCTGTTTCTTGTCATCCGCACTACATCCACGCACATTTAAGCAACCCAGTTTTATAAAGTTTTTCTTCTTCTCTTTTTTTAGTAATTGTATACAGGAGAAGGGGTTACTAGCCCATTGCTCCCGGCATTTTAGTCGCCTCATACGACACGCACTGAAACTCACCTACCCCCTTCAGCATTGTTTTGCTGATGGCCAGGACATAAAACTTCTTTTCATTCATAATATCAGCAATCATCTCTTTCTTATCATCCACACTACATCCACACACATTCAAGCATCCCAGTTTTATAAAGTTTTTCTTCTCTTTTTTAGTAAATGTATGCAGGAGGAGGAGTTACTAGCTCATTGCTCCCGTCATTTTAGTCACCTCATACGACACGCATGGCTTGCGGAGGAAAGATTCTTTTCCATTTCCCCATGGACAATAGAGGAAATAAAGAACAAGAGCTATTAAGAAAAAGAAGAAAAACCTAATGTGTGTATGTTTACATATGCATGTGTGTGCTTGTGTAGTGTGACCTAAGTGTAAGTAGAAATTTTATTTTTCCTTGGTGGGCATTGATAATGCTTTATTACAGGTCTAAGTTTTTTCTTACCTCAGCTCATGTTTTATCCAAATCATGATAACTTGTTCCTGGAACATTTTTCCTTCATATTGATATCTTTTGTATCTGTCATCCCTACCAAGTATGTATGGAAAATTATTTAAAATTGCTGTGTTCAGAAATTTGATCTAGATCTCTTTTTGTAGTACATGTATGGTGTCCACTACACTGCTGAATTTTGGCATTGTAAATTACTGATGTCTTTTATTTTATCTTATATTGCTTTTAATGACAAGAATGGTGGAAAGTTTTTGTACTGACATAACTAGAATCACATCAAGTTTTCTCAAAATTTTTAATTCATAACCACTTCACATTTTCTGTTATTACCAATTCAGTATTTGCTTGTTTGCAGTTTTGTACCCATATCTGGAATGAATTTTTCTAGGGCTAAAATTCTCATTTTTTTTTTTTTCAAGTTACAGTTTATTCTCATAGTACAGTACAGTTTAATACAGATGTTCATCTTCACAATGTAAATACCACAAACACGTTCAGAAATGGTTGATTAACTATTAATAAGGATTTTTGTTAACTAATTTTAAATAATAACTTATAAAGTTCAGCACTGTTATATTCATTTTATACAATGTACATCAAGTACTGCCACAGTTTCTTTTTTATATAAAGCCAAGATTGATTGATTAAAAGATTTAAAGTACAAAAACCTTAGGCATGGACATCAGTTTCTGTTTAGTGAATTCACATATGGGCCTTTATCAAAGGCTTTTTTTGTACTAGTCATCTCACTTTATCTTGCTTCGCTGTACTAGAATTAAATCTTGAAATGTAGTACAAAATTCTGCCCCTGTGGAATTTATTCCTCATTTTAAATCCCTTTTCATATAAAATTTGAAACTTATTTTACAAAAAGTTGATATTGTTTAAACAAAAATTTTTTAATGTCCCTTGGAAAACCAACCTAAAGGAAACTATTATGTGGTTCACATTATTGCTTGAGAATTACATTAAATTCAAATACTGTACTATTATTTAAAGAATTTATAAAGGATCTATGAATGTTTATGAGGGCATTATATGTAAACTTGTTCTCTCTAGGCTGGAATACTGCTGTACATTAACATCCCCGTTCAAAGCAGGTGAAATTGCAGATCTAGAGAGTGTACAGAGAACCTTTACTGTACGTATAAGTTCTGTCAAGCACCTTAACTACTGGGAACGCTTGGAAACACTTGACTTGTACTCGCTGGAACGCAGGAGAGAGAGCTCTGTCATAATCTACACTTGGAAAATCCTGGAAGGAATGGTCCTGAATCTGCACACAGAAATCACTTCCTACGAAAGTAAAAGACTGGGCAGGCGATGCAAAATACCCCCAATTAAAACTAGGGATGCCATTGGTACACTAAGAAAACACCACAAGTGTCCGGGGCTCAAGACTGTTGAACAGCCTCCCACCAAGCACAAGGGGAATTGCCAATAAACCCCTGGCTGCCTTCAAGAGAGAGCTGGACAGATACCTAAAGTCAGTGCCAGACTGCGTGCAGCCAGCAGTAAGAGCCTGGTTGATCAGGCCCTGATCCACCAGGAGGCCTGGTTGTGGACCTTGCCGCTGGGGCGTTGATCCCTGGAATAACCTCCAGGTAGACTCCAGGTAACCCATCTGTATTAGTGGAGGACAGAGATGCTAGCCTTCATCATTCCCTGTGCTTTATGACCCATGTTGGTGTAATGTTTCACATATGAAGGAGAGGAGGGGTAGGAATGTTGCAATTTGGAGGGTCATTTAAATTGTGATGTCTGCTCGCTTCTGGCAAAACAGCTTTTGAATGAGTGATGATATATGTGTTTCCTTTACTTGGGTTACTCTACCTCAGTTGGAAACAGCCAGTGTATTAAAAATAATAATAATGATAATTATAATTGTAACTGTTGATTGATTTTAATCCCAGAGTGAAGGTGACACAAGTGGGATGAATGGGTATGCCCAGGTTGGATCAACAGTTCCAAGTCATATAGAATTAGCATCTTTGGTGTCCAGTGTCCAGGACCTGTTGCCTGATTTAGGAGCTGGTTTTATCCAAGAATGTCTGAAGTAAGTCTTGATTTGTTCATGCAGATCTACTGTATTTGAAAAATATAAATTGCTTTTGTTATTTACTCATGATAACATAAAGGTATGAAATGTCTCTCTCACCATGAAGTTATTAAAAGGGTCATTAACTGTTACCTGGATGGTTAAAAGTTAGTATCAGGGCGATTTGTTATTTCAAGTACTGTATAAAAATTTCACTGATGTGTTTTTTTATATATATATACAAATTGTCTGTATATAAAACACATGTATTTTTTTTTTTTTTTTTTTTTTTTTTCAACAAGTCGGTCGTCTCCCACCGAGGCAGGGTGACCCAAAAAAAAAAAAAGAAAATCCCCAAAAAGAAAATACTTTCATCATCATTCAACACTTTCACCACGCTCACACATTATCACTGCTTTTGCAGAGGTGCTCAGAATACAACAGTTTAGAAGCATATACGTATAGAGATACACAACATATCCCTCCAAACTGCCAATATCCCAAACCCCTCCTTTAAAGTGCAGGCATTGTACTTCCCATTTCCAGGACTCAAGTCCGACTATATGAAAATAACCGGTTTCCCTGAATCCCTTCACTAAATATTACCCTGCTCACACTCCAACAGATCGTCAGGTCCCAAGTATCATTCGTCTCCATTCACTCCTATCTAACACGCTCATGCACGCTTGCTGGAAGTCCAAGCCCCTCACCCACAATTAATACACCTCTCATGCAGCCCAATACAAGTATCAGGGAGTTCTAATATTCAGAACTGGTAAATATATATGAGAGATTTGTTTTTAAATACTGTACTGTATACAATGGAACCTCGACTTATGAGTGTCCCAACATACAAGTTTTTCGAGAGACTAGCCGTCGCTCAGCCGATTTTTTGCTCTGAGTTATGAGCCAACATCCGAGTTGCAAGCGAGCTTCCCCTGCTTCCCCCACAACCCCACACTTCGCTTGTTTATCTTTGATTTTATGCTTTAATTCCATGGAAATCATCCTCTTTTTCTTCTCAGCACTGTCCTTTGCACTTGCTTTCTTAGGACCCATGGTTAGAAAAAAGAAATTTGGCCAAATAACTGTAAAAATGCAAGCAGAGCATGACAAAAATGCTTCCACAGCGAGGTAAACAGTTCGCTGCACCACCTAGTGGCAGTTTTTGGAAATTCCTCCTATTATTATTATTCTTTCTTTCAACACACCGGCCATATCCCACCGAGGCGGGGTGGCCCTAAAGGAAAAACGAAAGTTTCTCCTTTTACATTTAGTAATATATACAGGAGAAGGGGTTACTAGCCCCTTGCTCTCGGCATTTTAGTTGCCTCTTACAACATGCATGGCTTACGGAGGAAGAATTCTGTTCCACTTCCCAATGGAGATAAGAGGAAATAAACAAGAACAAGAACTAGAAAGGAAATAGAAGAAAACCCAGAGGGGTGTGTATATATATGCTTGTACATGTTGTGTTAGTGTGACCTAAGTGTAAGTAGAAGTAGCAAGGACATACCTGAAATCTTGTCATGTTTATGAGACAGACAAAAGACACTGCAATCCTACCATCATGTAAAACAATTACAGGCTTTTGTTTACACTCACATGCATGACGGTAGTACCTCCTGGCGGTTGCTGTCTACCAACCTACATTACCTAGGATTTTATTATTATTCTTTCTTTCAACACACCGGCCGTATCCCACCGAGGCAGGGTGGCCCAAAAGGAAAAACGAAAGTTTCTCCTTTTACATTTAGTAATATATACAGGAGAAGGGTTACTAGCCCCTTGCTCCGGCATTTTAGTTCGCCTCTTACAACACGCATGGCTTACGGAGGAAGAATTCTGTTCCACTTCCCATGGAGATAAGAGGAAATAAACAAGAATAAGAACTAGAAAGAAAATAGAAGAAAACCCAGAGGGGTGTGTATATATGTGCTTGTACATGTATGTGTAGTGTGACCTAAGTGTAAGTAGAAGTAGCAAGACGTACCTGAAATCTTGCATGTTCATGAGACAGAAAAAAGGACACCAGCAATCCTACCATCATGTAAAACAATTACAGGCTTTCGTTTTACACTCACTTGGCAGGACGGTAGTACCTCCCTGGGCGGTTGCTGTCTACCAACCTACTACCTAGGATTATTATTATTATTATTATTAATTATTATTATTATTATTATTATTTATTATTATTATTATTATTATTATTATTAATACTAATAATAATAATAATAATTATTTAGGGAACTGGAGCACAGATCGAATTTCTTAGATCAAGAGCCCCCCACTAGTGTCAAGGTTCCTTAAGGCTAGTGTTTGTTATTTATTTTTTTATTTATTTATTTATTTTTTTTTAACACGTCAGTCATCTCCCACCGAGGCAAGGTGACCCAAAAAGAAAGGAAATTCCCAAAGAGAAAATGCTTTCATCATTCAATACTTTCACATCACTCATACATAATCACTGTTTTTGCAGAGGTGATCAGATACGACAGTTCAGAAGTCCCACCAAACTGCCAATATCCTAAACCCCTTCTTTAAAGTGCAGGCATTGTACTTCCCATTTCCAAGACTCAAGTCTGGCTAACCGGTTTTCCTGAATCTCTTCACAAAATGTTACCCTGCTCACAATCCAACAGCTCGTCAGGTCCCAAAAACCATTCGTCTCCATTCACTCCTATCTAACATGCTCACACGTGCTTGCCGGAAGTCGAAGCCTCTCGCCCACAAAACCTCCTTTACCCCCTCCCTCCAATCTTTTCGAGGATGACCTCTACCCCGCCTTCCTATCCCAACAGATATATATGCTCTCCAAGTCATTCTACTCTGATCCATTCTCTCTAAATGAATAAACCACCTCAACAACCCATCTTCAGCCCTCTGACTAATTCCTTTAATAACTCCACACCTCCTAATTTCCACACACTGAATTCTCTGCATAATATTAACACCACAAATTGACCTTAGACAGGACATCTCCACTGCCTCCAGCCGCCTCCTCACACAGCGTTTGCAATCCAAGCTTCACACCCATATAAGTGTTGGTACCAATGTACTTTCACACATTCCCTTCTTTGCCTCCATGGATAACGTTTTTTGTCTCCACAGATACCTCAACGCACCACTCGCCTTTTTTCCTCCATCAATTCTATGGTTAACCTCATCCTTCATAAACCCATCTGCTGACAAGTCAACTCCCAAATATCTGAAAACATTCACTTCTTCCATACTCCTTCTCTCCAATGTGTTATCCAATTTTTCTTTAAATCATTTGATACCCTAATCACCTTACTCTTCTCTATGTTCACTCTTAATTTTCTACCTTTACACACCCTCCACTAAGGTTTGCAACTTTTTTTTAGAATGTCCCATAAGCATGGTTTCATCAGCAAAAAGTAACCGTGTCAACTCCCATTTTGTATTTGATTCCCCATAATTTAATCCCACCCCTCTCCCGAACACCCTAGCATTTACTTCTTTTACAATCTCATCTATAAATATTTTGAACAACCATGGTGACATTTCACATCCTTGTCTAAGACCTACTTTTACCAGGAAGTAATCTCCCTCTCTCCTACACACCCTAACCTGAGCCTCACTATCCTCATAAAAACTCTTTACAGCATTTAGTAACTTACTACCTATTCCATATACTTGCAACATTTGCCACATTGCTCACCTATCCACTCTATCATATGCCTTTTCTAAATCCATATGTTTCTATGTTATTTGTATTGTTTATTATGTCATATTAGATGAATTGTAATAAATAAATAAACCATAGAGTTGATATTAGTGTCATATTGAAGTACATGTATTTTGTCCTGCCTCCCGAGAGCAGGAATTCCGCTGGAACGGGTTAATGGCATTTCAATTAATTTAAATGAAAATTGATTTGATGTATAAGCAAATTGAGTTACGAGCTAGGTTATGAAACGGATTAAACTCATAGTGGAACCTCGTTTTTCTGCTGTAATCTTTTCCAGAAGGTCAGCCTAAATTCGAAGCAATATTTCCCATAAGAATTAATGTAAATACAATTAATCCATTCCAGACACCCAGAAATATTCACAAAAAAATACATTTTTTAAATATTAATTATAGTTTTACATACACAAAACAATGACAACTAAATAAAATAAATAAATTAACATTTAAATCACTATTACATACCTTTATTGAAGACTCTTGTTGGCTTACGGAAGACAGGGAGGAGGAAAGGGGGAGGACTGATTGTTTGAAAGGGGAATCCCTCTCCATAAAGACTTCAGATACCATAACCCTCTCTGGGGGTTACTTCCCTCCCTGCCTGCTATACTCCTTACATACCTGCTATACTCCCTGCATGCCTGCTACACTCCCTGCATGCCTGCTACACTCCCTACCTACCTGCTAGACTCCCTGCCTCTCTTCTACACTCCCTGTTTCCCTGATACACTCCTTGCCTGCCTGTTACACTCCTTGCCTGCCTGCTGCACTCCCTACCTCCCTTCCACACTCCCTGTTTCCCTGCTACACTCCTACACTCCCTGTTTCCCTGTTACACTCCCTTCATGCCTGTTACACTCCTTGCATGCCTGCTACACTCCCTTCAGGCCTGCTACACTCCCTTCATGCCTGCTACACTCCCTTCATGCCTGCTACACTCCCTTCATGCCTGCTACACTCCCTTCATGCCTGCTACACTCCCTTCATGCTTGCTACACTCCTTGCATGTCTGCTACACTCCCTTCATGCTTGCTACACTCCCTGCATGCTTGCTACACTCCCTGCATGCCTGCTACACTCCCTGCATGCCTGCCACACTCCCTTCATGTCTGCTACACTCCCTTCATGTCTATTACACTCCCTGCCTGCCTGCTACACTCCCTGCCTGCCTGCTACACTCCCTGCCTCTACGTCTTCCATTGTTTCGTTCCAGCACCCACACAACACGCTCATATTTTTCTGTTACTTCCTTCTTAAATTCCATCGTGTTTCTCACTTTCTTTACCAAAGGAACTTGGGGCTCACGGTGACTTATTTCAGAGTCGCACTTAATTAAAAACCACCAAAAAAATGAAGAGTTCGGATGAATGTGCAGAGTATATGCTCACTCGCTGACAGACAAAGGGATACTGACTCACCTATGTGTGGCGTCCTGGCAGGACATGTCTAATATGGCTGATAAACGAGGCAACGGCTGAAATACGGAGCAAAATTTCCTCCGAAAAACTGGCCTAAATATGAATCAGCCGATAAACGCAGCAGCCGAAAAACGAGGTTCCACTGTATTACAGTATACAGTAGGTTGCAGTGTTGCAATGGGAAATACAGTGCCTGCGCTCTAAAGGAGGGGTTTGGGATATTTGCTGTTTAGAGTGACGTCTATATGTCGTATCTGTGCACCTCTGGCAAGTCAGTGATAGTGTGAATGATGATGAAAGCTTTTCTTTTTCAAGTCATCCTACCTCGGTGGGAGACGTCCAACGTTTAAAAAGAAAAAAAAAATTTAGTTCAGAAATAATTGATATATAAAATGTACCCCTACCCTGGTAGAAAATGGATAAAGGCTTATGAGTAAATGCAAGTTGTTCTGTAAATATTCTCCATACAACATTTATAAAAAACTGTCATGAAAAGATTCTAAAGTTTTTAATATGAAACAACAATTCATGCAAATCATGAATTAATGCTCATATATAGCTAATAAGTGAAATAAACACACTGTAGTGGATGCTCTAAATGAACAGTTTAGTTAATTGGATTTATTCCAATTTAAAAGTAGTTTCACAACAGACAAATTTTAAACAGTATATTACCTATCGTTATTTTTAACATACAAACAACCCAAAAAATATAAATAAATAGGGAAAACTGGATGTATAGAAGCAATAAAAAATTATAACAGTAAAATTAGCCATCAAATTTTATATTTCAATTACTGTACTGTATTGTTTTGTTCAAGCATTTCTTTAATTTATATATTTTTCATTTTTAACACGATAGATACTACTGTTATTCCACGGAAGATGTCATTCATGCATTGTTAGAAGGAAGCCTTCCACCCTCTTTGGTTACTCTAGATCACTCGATGCCTGCACTGCCAGAATCTCGCCCACCATCGCCACAACCCTCACCATCACCTATGCTAGAGGACAACACCCAGGTATTTAATTATTTTATTCTGCATACAACTTTTTTTTTTTTTTTTGTATTTTCAAATTACCTGTACTTTTATGCCAGGAATTAATAACAGTGCAGAAATCTGATAAAATTTCTTTTTGGAAAAAAGGGTGTATTTTGGCAGACATCCTCTGTTTTAAAAAGAGAAAGAACACTGCCAGTGACATTGAAGGGAATTGCTATAGTAATCTGTCTGAGCATTACACACAAAATTCAGTAAGTATAAAAATGTGCTCAGTATAGAGATTTCACTATTAGCTGTTGTTTGTTAAGCAACATCCAAAAAGCTTCAACAGTAAATGAAGCCTATTTATTCTTTGGATCACCCAGTGGGCTAGCAACGGCAACAGCCTGATGATCAGGCAATCAACAGGAAAAGCCTGGCCCCTGTGAGATTAGAAAATTTTTTGAACCCATTCTCAGATATACCCTGCCTAGGTGGGAAATAGTCTAGATAAACCTGGGTCAAATGTATTTGTTAATTATTAGTGCAGTGGAACCTCAAAAATCGAACGTATCACATATCGAACGTTTCGAAAATAGGACCATTTTTTCGGATAAACTGTGTCCCTATTATCGAACGCGCCCCTATTTTCGGACCGCCGGGTACGGGACCTGTCTGCCGCCCGCTCTGTCCGCGTCCCCACGCAGGCGCCATGAGCAGTCTAGCTCTGTTTATGCTTGAGTGAATACTAACCTGCACTCTCACGCATTTACGATTATTTCGTTGTGTTTAGTGCTTGTGGGACTGTGAAATAAGCTGCCATGGGCCCAAAGAAACTTGCTAGTGGTACCCCTGTGGTAAAGAAAGTGAGAAACACCATAGATGTGAAGAAGGAAATAATACAGAAGTATGAGAGTGGTGTGAGACTTGTTGAGCTTGCCAGGATGTATGGGAAAAACAAGTCGACCATCGGTTCTATCCTGTCAAAGAAAGAACAAATCAAGGAGGCTGATGTTGTGAAAGGTGTTAATATAGGGAGTGGATGAGGTGCCTTCTTCAAAGATTAAGGAGATTTGTGCCAAGTGGAATGATGTCCAAATGTTTGTGCAGAAGTACCACCCTGAGCAAGCTGAAACAAGCCATCTTTGCAACAAGTTCAGTGACAGAACCATGTCCCATTTTAGGGAAATGTTAAAGAGGTGCCAGAAACAGAGGACTGTGGACAGTTATTTTGTGAGACAGGGGTCCAGTGACTCTCAAGCTGGTCCTAGTGGCATTAAAAGACAAAGAAGGGAAGTAACCCCAGAGATGGCTTTACCTGAAGTCCTCATGGAGGGGGATTCTCCTTCCAAACACTAACCCCAACTCCCTCTCTCCTCCTCCCTGTCTTCCAGATGCCATCACCAATCTTCAATAAACATAAGTAAAAATGTTATTTTGTATGTATTACTATACATAATTAAAAACTATAGTACTTGTTGTATGAAAAACTGTAATAAATCTCTATAAAATGTATTTTTTGTGTGAATATTTTTGGGTTTCTGGAACGGATTAATTGTAATTCCATTATTTCTTATGGGAAATATTGCTTCGAATTTCAGACTTTAGAACTAGCTCCTGGAACGGATTAAGTTCGATTTTTGAGGTTCCACTGTACAGTGAAGATTTAAGCTTGGCACTGTACACCATTGTCTTTATATGATTCCTGTTACCAAGACTTGCGTTTTGAGACTTGTAATCCATGACTGATTTAAAGGCCCAGTCTAAAGTACACTGTTGGAATAGGAAATTATAATAAATCTTTGGCAAGTTTGTAAAAATTGTAAAAAAAAAAAAAAAAAAAAAAAAAAAACTGTCTTTACATCTTACAGACCAAAACTGTTCGACAGGTGGATTACATGGATCGGGCAAATGTCTACAATGATGATGAGTTTGATGTGTTCAGCAGATCACAAATAGATCGCTCAAGAGTCAAGAAAGGCAAGAAATCACAACATACTGAAGGGTTAAAAACAGATAAGGAGAGCATAGATAAGGTAAGTACTTGTTTTTCCAAACAGTATATATTATGTCTTGAGAAAATGTTGAAAAGAAGGAATAAAAAGGTAATAGAGAAAACTAGTGTTTGTAGAATATTCAAGCTAAATGCTTAGGGTTAAACTGCTCCCTCATTAACACTTTTACCTGTACATCACATAACTTTATGTATACCATTTGTCAGTCATTATTTTGTTCCTGGGGAAGCTGTATATCCACAATGGTCATATAGTGCCTAAAGAATGGGAGGAGTGGAAGACAAGTTTGATTTGTAGAAATGGAGGGTAGCTCCAATTCCTTGAGCCAAGATCCCTTCACCAGCATCAAAGAACTCCCCATTGAATGAAACCATTTGGTAATGTACCCCATTTCTGACCTAAGTGGAATCAAAACAGTGCAAATTCTCTTGGGTTCTATTTTCACGTGCTAAGAATGAACAAAGTAATTTCACATGTGGATAACCCTTATACCGTATATTTATCTACTGTTCATGTCAATTTTTCTCATGCACAATGGACTACAGTGTCCTGCTGCTGCTATTGTTACTTTTTTTAGGAATTTTAGGAATGGGAGGATTAGCTTTTCTTCCAGGTATTAATCTGTAGTATCTTGTGCTGCACCAGGCAGAGAATTTCTTGTTTCACAATTTTTATGTGTGGAATTTCAGATCAAAGAGATAGCAAGACAGTATGATGAAAGAGGAGGAACAAGTATATATGAAGATGAGTTTCGTTATGAAGATGACCACCGTGCCTGGGATTATGAGGATGAGTATGATGACACCTATGATGATAATGAAGCTGGAAATATTGATGACCTTGGAGTAGAAAAAATTGTGAAAAGGTAAGATTCTCATATATTAGGCCTAAGTATTTGATTGGTTGTTACTATTATTGTATTATTATATAAATGGTTTAGAAAATTGACAAGTTGACGAGTGAGACACTTGTGCAACACTTGGGAATCTTTATTGTGGAAATGTTTTGCCAACCAGTGGCTTCATCAGTCCGATACAGAGAACAGTGGAAGAGGCGTTTGAGACAATCAGTTCCTCAGGCTGGAAATGTATTTGTTCCATCAGTCTTGATAAAAGTATAGCATATACATGGAGAAAGGGCTTATATACTGCAAACAGGAAAGGCAAAGCAGTTGGAAATGGTGTCACTGGTGGACAAAATCCACTAGTGGAAGTAAGTCAAAATTCTCTGCATCAAAATTCCAAGATGTTGATGTGTCTGACAGTAATTATGATATAAATGGCTTAAGAAACTAACAACTTGACGAATGTAACACTTGTGCAACATTTGGGCATTTTTTGTCAGCCAGTGGCTTCACCAGTCCAATAAAGAGAAGAATGGTGGAAGATGAGGGGTATAAGGTAATTAATTCCTCAGCTTGGAGATGTGTTCTGTCCATCAGTCTTAAGGAAAGTGCAGCATATGCATGAAGAGGCTTACATACTGGAGACAAGTGAGACTAAGTAGTTGGAAGCAGTATCACTGGTGGAGGAAATCCACTAGTGGTAGTATGACCTGCCACTAGGTTAGGCAGGCACTGAAGAATACTCTGTATCAACATTGGATTAGTATCACTTCAGGAACTTGTTCACCAAATGTAAGTGCACTGACACAACCACTGCTGCACTCCACCACTGACACAACCACTGCTGCACTCCACCACTGACACAACCACTGCTGCACTCCACCACTGACTCAACCACTGCTAGATGAGAAAAATGTGCTAAAACATTATTTTATTGCATCTTCTTTCAACAAACTGGCCATATCCCACTGAAGTAGGGTGGCCCAAAAAGAAAAACAAAAGTTTCTCTTTTTAACTTCAGTAATGTATACAGGATAAGGGGTTACTAGCCTCTTGCTCCTGGCATATTAGTCACTTCTAACGACACACACCTTTCTGAGGAAGAATTTTGTTCCACTTTCCAATGGAGCATTTTATTACATATTTTGACTATTCAGAGCAGTTGAAGTATTTTCTGATATGTTTCAGTAGAGTAACATTTCCAAAATACAGAGTTCCTTGCTCACTATAGCTGATGTGTTCTAGGCCCATGGTATCTGTAATAATCACACTTAGGCAATTTTTTTTACTTTTTAATAATAATAATAAAAAGTTCTCCTTATCTAAAATAATAATAATTTCTTAATAATAATAATAAAAAGTTCTCCTTATCTAAAATACAAATAATAATTTCTTAATAAAAAAATAAAATGTTTTCCTTGTTCAAAATAATATTTATTAAAAAACCTCACATTTTAAAAACATTTCATTCTCTCCATACTTTCGTTCATTCCATGCCAACATCAAGTGAATCTTCATGAAGTCTCATCAAGGGCACATAACAGTGTGTTAGGAGGAGAGGATCAATATTTTCTTCACCTTCTTTTATGATAACTTTTGGACAGTATTCTGGTGGACAGTCTCTCCATGCCAATCCAGAATAAGCATACTGTTGATCCAAACCATTATGTCCTCCTACCCTTCTGTCAGCCCTGATGCCCATCCTACTGAGGCTGCGGCAACACCTTCACGTTCACAGTACTCAAAATGCCAATCTAGTAATTCATTTCTTAGAATGAATTTGTCATGATGGCATTTTTTTATAAAGAATCTGAAGAAATCTTGGAAGGATTTGCAGCCGGAATAGCGCATGTATCTGGGCATGTTTGCTGAGTATGAGAGGTAGCTTTTCAAATCTTAATGAAAATTAAGGATTGAGATTACTAAGTTACTTACAATATGTTAAAAGAAGTAAAGTTAGTGATGAGAGAATTAGTCAATCTACTCAAAGAAACAACTGAGGTTGCTACCACCTGCAGCTCACAAGACTGCCATCCCCACGAGCCCCTTTGGGGCGGGGCAGATGGCAGACCAGAGGCCTAGCTTCTCCCTGCGAGCCCCGTGAGGGCGGGGACTGTGGCTAGGCCTGGGGACACTTGGTCCCAAAGATGTGGGGGTACTTGTACCTCCTCTCATGGGAGACTTAGGTCTCGAGACTCTCCCCAGATAGGGAGCCAAGGCCGTGTCACCACTCTTGGAAAAGACCCGGGCTGGGAGAGTACCGGCGAATAAAAAAAAAAATAGGTAATTTTTCAATACATCGGCTGTCTCCCACCAAGGCAGGGTGACTTAGGTAATTCTTTCTTTCAACGCACTGGCCATACCCCACTGAGGCAGGACTTAGGTAATTATCAACTCTTAATTCTTCATTTTAGGAATCTGGAGGGTGAGCAAGGAAATATGAGGGGATTCAGAAAACCCAGTTAGCTAGACTTGAGTACTGGAGATGGATGTACAGTGCATGTACCCTAAAAAAAAAGAAATAGGGAATTACTGGTAAAAATGAGGCATCACATTAAATTGAATTCACATATAGTTAGCCCACGTCAAGCAAGGCTTACTACATACCTTTGAAGACAAAGACAAAGTATCAAAGATACCAGCAAACTGTATTGTTGAGTACTATTAATAATGTGTGTATTTATGCTCTACTAGGTACACTGTACTTTGCATTTATGTAATGGATTGGCTCATCAGCCATATTCTGTTTTCATTGAAATGAAGTAGATGCTGTGGGGGAAGCCTTTTTATTCACCTAGAGTACAGGGAACATTTCTTCCAACTTGAGTCTTAGTCACTTGATGACCACTTAGTAAAGCTTTTGATCATTTGACAGAGGCCCTCTGCTGAGTTGCTGGTCCACCTTGTAAAAAGACGATTACCACACTAAAAGATGTGGAGAGACCAGTATAGTTCAAAAAGTGTTGGAAACAAGTGTAGCGTACAAAAAAAGTTAAAGTAAACCACAGTAAAGCTTTTCATTCTTAATTCATAATGAGTAGAGCAAAGGGAATCAAGCTTCCACACTGCCTGAGTAGGGATTTTTCTTGTGTTGAAATTTTTCTTTCATCAGGAACATCAAGGAAATAAAAGAGTTAAATAACTGAATGATTGTAATTTCTAAGTGCTTTATTTTTTCAGGCGCCCTGGAATTATTGGAGCTGGACGTTTGAACACCAGCATAGACTATGCATATACTGAAGAATCTCCTGAGGTATCTGATAAAGAAGAAACTACTAAAGAAGATACGGAAGAAAAAGAAGGCATATCTCAGAAGGGGTAAAACATATTCTGTGAATCTGGTTTACATTTATGAAACCAAATGGTATATTCAATAATGTATCTAGTGTCAAACCATATGTATTCATGTTTTTAATCTTAAGTTTTATTTTTATGGTAGCAGTCATGATGGTGTGTATTAGCTAGTGGATAACTTGTTAAATTTTTCCTCATGCAGACCTAAAGGACAGGTCAGTGTTAGACCTAAGAACAGAAGCAACACAAGAGGTGTACAGAGAGTATTTCATAAGTCCAGTAAACCTAAAGAGAGCACACCTACCCCAGAGAGAGAAAGCAGTAAAGAAGATGGGAAGGATCCTAACCCACCATTCAGAACAACTGCACCTAAACCTTTCTGTGAAAATCCAGAGGTAGTTCGGCAAAGAGCTGAGCAAAGAAGACAAGAGGCATATCGTTACAGGGGGTAAGTACATTTTTAAATATTGCAGCTTAACACTCGAAAGCAATGCCTTGATGGCATTGAAGGGCTCCTACTCCAAGGAATTAGAGCCATCCTCTTTTTCCTTAATGTATGACCCCACTATTGGCTTAGCATTAAACCATGAATAAATTTGAAGGAGAAAAAATGGCTTTATAAAATTTTCTGTAACCTTTAACATAAGGGCTTACACAGGGCAAATAATATGACTGAAAGAAAACAAAACAAATTGATACCACACAAAAATGGCAATACTGAACCATATACAGTCTCTCCTCACTTAACGACGGAGTTCCGTTCCTAAGAGTAAGTCGGTAAACGAATTGGTCATTAACAGCTTCCTTGATTGCCGTTTTCTTGGCCACAATAGTAGCGATGGTTGATTGGGGTTTTGTGTACAACCTGACCAGCTCAGAGACACACACTCCACTTTCATACTTAGCAATGATCTTTCTTCATATCCATAGTAATTCTCACCCTTTTTGCTGTAGGGTTAGCACTAGAAGCTTTCTTGGGGCCCATGGTGACTTATTTTTCAGGTGCAATCACTAAAAACGCTGTGATAATATGAAATGTTCCATTGTATGTTTGGATGGGACCGCGGTGGCTGGCTGGCTTGTAAACACTGGCCACAAGTGGACGCGTCTCAGATGGAACGAATCGTGTTGGTCGAGTTTTTTAGCGCTAGTTGAGGCAAAATTTTTGCGTTAAAATGTATCACTAGTCGGATTTAACGTTAGACGATGCCATCGTTGGCCGAGGGTCCACTGTATATACTTCCGTGTATCCAAAACATTGCTGGGACCTATAAATACTATGTATATATTTCTAGACAATAGTATGCGACTAAGGTAGGTAAAAATGTTCACCTGTCAGTGTTTGTGACTATTTCAGTACTATTTCAGTACTTAATATTAGTGCCAGAACAAAGATTAGCTATGAAATCACAAGAACTACTACAAATTGTAATTATCAGTACAAAAAATATACAAATTAAAAAAAAATGAGAAAAAAAGGTATATCGGCAACACTTCTGCAAGCGGCAGTGCTTCATGTTACCGTCAGGTGAGAGACAAGTGCCAACTTTGCGGCTTTATATTTCCATAAGTACTGACTAGAATTTATTTTTTACATTATTTTATGTAAATAAAAAGTCCTCTTTATTTTTTTTTTTTTTTTTTCAAAAATATTCGGAGTGCTGGGCGAGAGAACGTAGATCTACGTTTGGACAGTTAAGGGGTTAAATGAGTATGTCATTAAGTGAGGAGAGACTGTACAAACCCTTCAAGGGAGCTTCCGTGATGCCTTTGAGAGGCTCTTGATTCAAGGAAGTGGACCTGTCATTCCCTTCAGTGGAACTTGATTGCCTTCCATTCCTTATACACTGTATGACCCCTATAAGCTTTGAGCTTCCTCTCTGATTAAATTAATAATGTACTATACAAATAATAAGTTACTGGTATCTTAAATTTGGATAGTAAAGTGAGTTTGTTCAATTACCCAGAGCTTCTGTTGAATCAATACAAAATTGCTCATGTTGTATCATTCTGTTAACTTGACTAACAATGTATTTAGCTCAGATGAATATATCTGTTCTGTTTTTTAAATGTACTAAGATTTCTCAATGAAACTTGCCTGTTGAAAATATTCTGTTCAGTAAGGATTGGAATTTGTGATGACTTTACATTAAATTCATTCTGGTTTATTTTTAGTAACATTTTACATTCTCATTACACTTGATGAAATAAACCTGCCTAATTATTACTATTGTATTCATTGGTAAGAAAGGGGGGCAACACTGTACCCAAAGAGGTCATAAGAGTCTGGGGAAAATGGGAGAAATTCAGGTTTGATTCAAGGAAGGGGAGGGTAAGTCCAGTTCAGGGAACCTCTTTATGGGGTAAAGTTGCATAATCTTTATTGGTTATACTGTATCATTTAATTTTCAATCTCATTTTACTTATAATTTTTCTGCAGAAGGGGAAGAGGTCAGCAAATAAGAAGAGATGATACTTTAAGTAATGGGATTGATGGAGAGCGCTATGGCCCAAAGCAGATCTCCCGGGCTTCTAGTAGGAGTAGTGGAAAAAGTTGGCGCCAGGGTCAGGGCGGTGATGACGACAGTAGAGGATACCGTGGAGGCAAATGTAAGTTCAGAGTTAATTAGTAGTTTTGTTTCTGAGGTATGTAGATTACAAAGCTTGTACAGTTGAGTATTTTAAGCTCTGGGGAAGTGGAGAAGAATCCTTCCTCTGTGAGCCATGTGTGTTGTAAGAGATGACTAAAATGCTGGGAGCTCAGGGCTAGTAACACCTCCTCCCGTATAAATTACTAAATTTAAAAAGAAGAAACATTTATGTTTCTTCCTTTTTGGGTAACCCTACCTTGGTGGAGAAAACCAGTGTTAAAAAAAAAATATTGTTATGCTATAGATTATGTAGTATGGTGTATGGTGGTCCATGCAATGACAGGTGTTTTTCCATGTTAGATTTGGAGGAGTGGAGAAAAGAGGTTTTTATGGCTTCACATGGTGTTGGAGTGTGAGCAAGGTAACATTCATTTATGAAGGGAATCAGGATAACTGGTTAGCTAGGCTTGAGTACAGGAGGTGGGAAGTACCTCACATGTCCACCATGGGAGGTGTTTGGATATTGCAGGTCAAGGGGTCATTTTAATTGTAATGTCTGCACTTTTCACAAGATATCTATTGAATGAGTGATGTTGAATATGTGTTCTTTTTCAGGTCTTCCTACTTTGACGGGGACGGTCATTAAACAGTGTATTAAAAAAGCTCATTTGAGGAGTCTGAGTTGTCAGTATATTTAAATTATATTATTAAATTTCAGATAAAGAAGATACAAACCATGGCAAAGCACAAAGTCAACAGTATCGTCACAAGATGATGCACAAGAACGAACATAAACGGTTTGGAGCTCAGGCGAAGTTTAACAAAAACAGCTAAGACAAATGCTGATACTTGTGCCAGTACGTTATGAATTATTTTTTCTTGCATATAATTCAACCCTTGAGTTTACCATTCATGTTACCATCTTATTATCTTCCAAAGATAATTGATTTTTCTGTTAATATTTATATTATTTTCTGATAAAATATATTTATCAGTTATTCATTGTCTACTGTTTTGCAAAGTAATACACAGAATAATATAAATTGTGATAAAGTTGTGTAATAATAATAAAATTTGTTGCTTAACAATATTATTTTTACTCTGCATAGAAAGGTTTACCCATCACTCCTTGACAAAATTTTCAATGCCTATGAGAGCAAAAAAATATGGCTAACTTATAAGTATTAAAGCACAAATGAACATTATATAGTTACAGCTCATAATGTAAAAAGTAGCCACTAACAGTCAGCAGCCTTTTCCATTGTTTTAGATGACACAGATATTTTACACGATGCATAAAACACTTGTGTGACGTATAGCATGTGGTATGATAGTATATATATATCCTATCAGGAATTAGAAGCAGAAGTTTTGTTGAGGTCTCTGTAGCCAAGTCTGTATTGATGCAGTCACCCATCCAGTTATTGATCACTCATACTTTACCTTGTTCACCAAGTGACATGCATTACAGATCTCAAAATTAGTGCGAGTTGCAGGGCTAATTGTGATAATGGGTCAGGAAATAATATTCATTTGTAATAATCATTTATCTTAACTTTTGTACAGTACTACATCCATGCACATAAAAAACTAACATATTTATGCATGTACAGTAGTATAGTTATATATACATACATGCATACTGCACATAACATTTTTTATTTTATCAGCAAAATATAGTAACATCTGATTTGGGGTCACAAATGCCTTGGGATTTATTTTTCATATTGTTTTAGAAGATTTTGCAGCATCTAGTTGTATAGCAATTCTTAAGTGTGGCAGCAACAAAGGATAGAGCTGATAAAATTAGTAAAGATGAGCTAGCCAAGCTGAAATACTGGTATAGTGTACACCAACAACCTGCACATAGGAGAATAAAACTTATGACAGCATTTTGGTTCAACTTCGACCATTAACTAGTGTATTATTCCAGTCACGGTAGTGTGCCTTTTTATTCTTCACTAGTACACTGTCTATGGCAGTATGCTCACTCACAGGATGACCAGCACTGTCCTGTACATTTGATCCTCAATACAAAACACAAACAATCTACTGAAAAAAGCATCATTCTTTTTTTTTTATTAAGCTGTTAATAATGTTTAGAATAACTATTTTATCTGGTACACATGTTTTGAGAGCTTTGTTTGAAATCAGTTTTATTTTGTTGGTGGGGATCAGATTTTTTAACTTAATACCTGAATGAAATTGCTTCAGATGTGTTATATTTTCAGATTATGCAATAATGAACTTAATAAGATACTAAGTCATAATTTTGTCTTGTCCATGTTAGTGTGGTTCATTGTTAAGGAACTAACCAAAAACGGTGACAGATGTGTAACATTTAGAAATGCACATTATGTTAATACTATTCAAAAAATATTCTCCTATGCAGTTTGCAGTCCTTTTTGGTCCCCTGATGGCATTTCTCCTTTTTTTTTTTTTTTTTTTTTAATGAGATCATATCTCAGTAACATCTCAACAGCCCTGAATAACACATATGTACTTAGCACTTTTTTGTATATTAAATTACAATAATTATCAACAATTCCTCAAGTGCATCACTTTTATTTTTGGTACAGATATAGCATAGTATATAATTTTTTTTTTTTTTTTTTTTTTTGCAAGGCTTACTGTGGTTGATACTTTAACAACTCCTTAACTGTCTTGCTTGTGATTTTTGCATATATGTGCCTTGGGGTGATGGACTTGTAGCCAATGGTGACAGCTGTAGGAATAATTATAATGTTTTCATGTACAGTATATTAAGGATATATTGTTGGTGGTTGGTATATCAGCAAATTAACAGAATTACTTTGTGCAAAAAGAACACTAGAAAAGAACATAAATAAAATTATATATGTACTTCTGACCAATTTAAATCAATTTCAAAGTAAAAGAAAAGAAGCAAAAGTTCTGGATTGTACATAGCCAGGGTGCAAGTGAAGAAAGTGACGATGAACGATGACCTAACATGGTTTCATGACCCAAGGGTAAAGTGACCGAGCATGGGTCCTTGACCCATATACAGTGCTGATCCTAGCATCTGGAGCTATGATACAGGTGTAACATGACCTAACATCAGTCCATGATCCAAGTATAATGTAACTGAACATAGGTCTATGACCCATGTATATTGTCAGCCTAGCATGTGGAGCCATGACACAGGTGCAACATGACCTAACATCGGTCCATGGTTCAAGTGTAATGTAACTAAATATGAGTCCATGACCCATGTACAGTGTCAGCTTTGCATCTGGAACCATGACACAAGTACATGACCTAATATCAGTCCATGATCCAAGTGTAATGTGACCTAACTGGGACTGCCATACAAATGCACCTGTTTTTTTCTGGCAAACATACTAAGTTGCATACATATTTCTGGGATGTTTTTACCTTCTGCTAACTTTTTTTGGACACTTAATTTTCTATTTGACAGTGGTGATATTTTGATAATTTTTTAACTAATTCACTTGAAATTTTAATTGAAAATTTGCCTACTGATATTATAGAATTCATGTATTGGTAGTAGAGATTGTACATGTAATATTGATATGTAACTTTAAAAAGGTAATACAGTACTGTACTTGATGTAGTAGACATATGACTTAGTGAAGAGGTGCAATGCCGACAGGTGAATTTATAAAGACTATATACAGAACAAGCTTATATTGGGATTACGTTTTGCTCAGAGTTGAGCCTTACCAAGTCATACAGAGGATACTGTTACGCTGAAGTATGTCAACCCTCCCTCATATTCCCTCTAAAACCACAACCACAAAAGAGGTTGGCCCTTGTGCTTTAGACCATCCTTCAACCTTCTAGGACATGATTAACACACATTCTTCAGGGTTTCATGGGGTAAATTCTCCATGACTTGAAAATGATGTCCGAAAGCTACGGGCTGATATCCTTCCTTTAGCAGATCTCTCTCTATCACAACTCATAGTTTCTCATCGAGTTCATGTCTGGGAAATATCCTGGCCAGTCATAAAAGAAGGGTATCTCACAGGCATGAAGCTATTAAACAACAGATTTTGTTGTGTGGCAAAAAACTTTGTACCATCCTGCATGAAAAATTTGCACAAATGATAATAGAGCCATTCTAGATATGACAATTAACATTAAGGGGACCTTTTTCGAGGCTTAACTGGACGTACTTTTGGTGTGGCCATGGCATCAGCACTGTCTTCAAGGAACAGATGTAACCAGGTCCTCACTGGACACTTGCACACATTGGCAGCTGCTACTGTTTTCTTCATTTGATGGTTTGCCTTATTAAATTCAGTGATCACTGCAATTGTCTCTTGTCAGTGACTTACTCCTGCCTGTATTAATTTGTCAGTGGCCAAAAATATCCAACAAGCCTGGCCCTCAAGACCACACATCACAGGGGTATCACTGACACAAAACCATTCACCAGACAAGCCTAAAAGGCACTGAAGATGAAGCCAGTAGCTTTTGGGAATCCTGGGATGTCCTGCTTTGAGTTGCAAGCAAGAAAAACTCTGTCTCGTCAATAAACCCGCCAAGGTAGGGTATTACTTTGGACATTGAAGTGCGCTGGGTGGAAGACGTGGCATACTTCAACCCTTTCAGGGTTGGTGCCGTACTAGTACACACAAATTCTAGCGGCTTCAAATTAAGTGGGAAACAGCTGGTAGGCCTAGATGTAAGAGAATGGGTCTGCGTGGTCAGTGTGCGCAGTAGAAAAAAATTTGGGGACCAAGTGGTGCATTGTGGGAACGCCAGCCTTGCTCACCATGCCTCGCGGTAAGAAACTCCTCGTCGAATTGGGACACTTTTGTTCCCCAGTGACAGTTCTACAGATGGAAGTGTCAGTGAAGATGAATTTCAAGGTTTTGATGCGGTTGTGACTGAAACTAATGACCATAATACCGGTATTATTATTATAAACATACCAGTAATAGAGAGGAAACTCCAGATGACCCTCAACCTTCCACCTCTGGTGCTGGGCCGTCTTGTTCACGTTCAGTTGTACCAGAACAAAAGAGGAGACTTGTATTTTCCCATATCCTGGACTCAGATGTGAGCAATGGTGATGATAGTGATAGTGAATATGAACTCCAAGCTCTTGAAAACAGTTCCAGTAGCGAGAGTGAAGTAGAATATTCTTGAGTGAAGTGTCAGTATATACAACGGTATATGCACTCTGGTAGTGTGCCATATGCTATTCCAAGGGGAAGGAGTACATCTTGGAGTACATCCCATGGCTGTACAACAGGAACAGATAGTGAAAATGAAGATGATAGTGTTGCAATTGGATGGAAAATGTGCATGCATCTGTTGGTGGTAGTGGTGGTGCCAGCCGTGAGGCACCAGCAGTGGGCCATGCTGTCACCCACGCCGCTGACTCTGCTGAACTACAACAAAGGCCACCATCCCCCACCACACCAACCTCCACAACCACAATCACCTGTCAGTATCCAGTACCCACCAGCAGACTGCACCTGGGATTGGCAGGAATCTGCCAATTTTGTTCCCAATCCCCATCATTTTGATGAAAGTCAAAGTGGAATACGGCCATCTTGTACACTTGGGAACAATGCCACTGAACTGGAATGTTTTGAGTTTTTCTTTGACGAACCCCTGATGGAAATTATTGTGGAAGGAGACAACTGTGGCTGAGATGTATCTTTTGTTTCCCACAATAATGCTTATGCCACATGTGTATAAGCACAGTGTCCAATCATACTGGTCGACAGACCGCCTGATTGCAACCCCAGGTTTCAGTAATATAATAGGAGTGAATCAATTTGTGCTTCTATTCATATGCTTCACTTCTCAGACAAAACCAGGCCTGACAGAAACGACAGGCTATATAAGATTAGGAATG